TCAACAGCTCTAGGTCTTGGCAAATTGGAATAGTGGTGATAACACTGAAGTTTGCCTGAGAGAGATGTTTAACTCACTACCCGTGGAACCTTGTGTCCAGTTAACTAAGTTGAAACTATTGCAGGACAGTTAATTGTCTTAAGTGAATGAAAGAACTAGTAATTTGCCCTCTCTTTATTTTGGGCAGTATGTTGCCTGGCTGCATACAAGGGACACCTTAAAGGCCCCATTTCTCCCTGAGCATTTCTCCCTGTTACAAGGACTGACGACATTATATGCCTTTTATGCATTATATGAATTAGAGTTCGTACCCTAGCTCCTTGGTTTGTGCTACTGTTTTGAGTTGTGCACATTCCAGTTCTTGGGAAATCAGTGAATTCAAACACTTATATTATATAAACATGTGATTACAGTAACCATTTCCTCCTGCTGTACAAGAGCATTTATCACAACTGTTAACATCGTGAGGCTTTTCATTCCTCCTCAGTGATTTAAAGCATTCCCCTCTACATGAATTTATTGTTCATATAAGCCTACAATAATCGTCGTGACAGTCATTTTCAAATAAAAATTTGTATCCCTTTTTGAGGGTGTTTTTTGAGTTTTTCGTTGCTTGTTCAACAATGTAAATGTAAGTAGAGTGCTTTGGAAGAATTGATGCATCCCTGCTCCAGCTCTGTTTAGTGGCTACATCTCTAACCAGCAGGGGAACCAGGAATCGAGCTGATAGCTTTCTGGATTACGGAGCTACGCCTTAACAGAGAGAAAAATTATTCTGTGCAAGGGTCGAATGGAGTAAAAACGTTTTTATCCAACTTCTTTCTTACCCTAAAACCTATACATAATAACATAAAAAACTGATGATGAAAAGCATAAACTTTTTATGGAGATAGAATTATCGTACATTTTGAAAGGATCAGAATAGCAACATGAAAAATCTTTTCAATCAGCTTTTGTTTAATACCTGATAGATAATCTAAGTCTCTTACGAGCGTATACCTGCCAACTCTCACGCCTGCGGGTTGAAAACTTCGATCTCACGCCGGCTCACGCCTGCGGGCCAATTTCTCACGCCTGATTGAAAAATGTGAGTTGTTGCCGTCTTGCTTCACACAATTTCCAAAAATATGTTAACTCAGACCTATGTAAGGAACGAAAACCATGTGTAAATGAATAAATAACAATACCTTCCTCGCGATCTCTGATTTTGTGGATAAGCGTTTTCTCGATAACTTCGCCTTCGGCAGACTTCGGACGTCTTCGGAAGACTTCGGACTTCTTCGGGAATCTTCGGAAATGATCGTGTCGTCTGCAAAAATCCCAGAACTCCCAGGATAAAAATCTCACGCTTATATCTCAGAAAAAGTTGGCAGGTATACGAGCGGTAATAGTTAATCGTTTTCAGCTTTTTTAATAAAGGCCCCATAAAAAATGAAAAAGTATCAAAACTATTGCTAAAAAAGATTAAGCCAAAACTTTAATTCGCAATGTTTTTGGCATTTAAATCAGCTCTCGTTTGCCCTCGATATCATCGATCCAGGAATATCTTTGCACGAAAGCTTTAAAGTTACCATAACATACCCATAAAGACATTGTATAAGGAAAATATTCCTCTTGATATAAAGTAAAAAATTCCTTATTATATGAACACACTGCAAAATCAACGTCAACAGAGATTTTATCTTTGGTAGCCATTTTGGCTACGTGTATGATCTTTCCGCGAATGACGTCATTCACTGAAAATTCAAGATGGCGCCCAGACTTATTGAAAGCGTGTATACCATTTGATTACCTACTTATTTAATATCATGGGTGACGAATTACGTTAGCAATCTTGGATTTTTGACATGTTAATCCTGGATCGTATTGATCGAGAACTCCACTCTCTCAAATGTTTAGACCTTAAATTTGGCTTATAAAGTTCAGAATTTTTCGGACTTTTTCGGCAAAATACCTGCTAAAATCCTTCTTGATGATGTTCTCTTATGTGTTCAGGTTTTCTAAAGCGTCTTTTTGTCCCCTGACATCTTCATTCATGACATTTTAAAACTTCATCGCCATCTTGACACTGAGATGTACGGAATGGTTGCCATGGCAATTTTGTAATTTCACATGTGAAATGACAAATTGACGCTGAAATTTCGCGCCAAAATTAAGGAGTAATTCGTCACCTATGTATTATATCTGTTATTGGCCAGGACTCAAGCTCAAGTCCTATACGGTTTCCTGAGTCAGGTTTAACCTGATATATAATCACCATCAGGAAATCGTTTTTCAGTTCTGCCCCTCTGAGAACGCAAAATGTTCCAGTTCGCCTTTTACTAAAGATTTCCATAGAGAAGAAAGATTGCAACTGCTCTGGTTTAAGCGTGAGGCCCAGCAGCCGGACCCAGTGGTCAAATACCTTTTCACAGCTTTTTATTTATTTTTATTATATAGCAGTACCTGATGAAATACCAGGATTTTTCCCTTTACTTAAAAATCATGTCTTCATCGCGTG